GGACCCCATACACAAGATGTTGCCAGACCACCACTTGCTCTAAGGTGACCAAGCAGGATCACTATGCTGAGGTTCAATCAAGTTCTTAGGGGATCTTAATCTCTAGCAGGGATAGCAAATTAGTAGCCACTCAGTGCTCAACGTAAAATAGACTTTTAAGTGTGATAGAAATGAATATTGGGAATTATGATTAGAGAAAGCTGTAAGCCTGTCTTCAGTCTATAACTGACTGGATAGCTAAGAGAGGAATTAGAATTTGCCCAGGGAAATAGGCTTCTTGTTAAGCCTTTGTGGAGTATAAGGCCATCAGTGGAATCCTGAGTCCTACCCAGAATCTTCTGAGGTGGGACATTCTCACTTGAGAAAAACAGACCAACACAGAATGGCTGGGAGAACAGAGAGTTCTTATTGAAAGACCTGCAGAAAAAAACAAAAAAAAAAAAACCAGAATGGCTATTAGAATATCAAGCAAACTGTTTGCTTTGGAGGCATCTAGGCAAGAAAAATCAACCCATCTGGGAAAACCCCCTTATAAGACTGAAACTCAAAGGGGATCTGTGAGCAGCCTAGTATGCTCGCTGGTGACTACCCTGATCTATTTGTGAGTGGAAGTGTAGGAAATGCAGCAATGAAGACGTGGACTGTGTTTAGCCATGTTCAATTGATATCCAGTGACCATGAACTGAGAGAAGAGGAAGGGCTGGTTGGTCTGAAGTTTAGGGAGATGTGTGAACTTAGCCCATGGACACTGACCTAGTCACTCATGCCTAAAGTCAAGAGTGAAGCGGTCAACTGGTTTGAAGTATGGAGAGGTGTGCATGAGCTCCCAAACTTGCAGCTAGGACTTATTGACCTAGCTTGGATGGCTACCTGACCAGAAAGCCACCAGACGAAGATAAATATGCTTGATACTGTGAGCAAGTAGAAATTGCTATAATTTGATGAACTGGACCTTTGCTTATAGATGCAGCTGCTCAAAATTCCAACCAAAATGGAAGGATTCTTCACATCAAAAAGCAAGCTTGTTTTCCCAGAGCACTGTGATTATAGGGAAAGGGAATTTATGCATTAGTTATCAAAAATGTACCTATAAAAGAACAAACAAGATGGCAGATCGGGTGGACGTATAGCAGAGAGCTCCGCCAACAACACAGAATACCCGACCAAGCAGGTTCAGGGGATGGTCCCAGAACTCTGAACCATATGTAAAGGAATACTTAGAAGGTTGGAAGGCTAACAGCTGGGGGAATTTGTGGCAGAAGCAAGAAATCTATTGCTTTCTAGTCCGGGAC